AAATAAAAGTCACATCCAAGAAGGAAAGTGATGGCTTCAAGGTGGTAAGCAAACCTTCAACGATGACGAATGACATCACCAACGACCGCAATTGCATCATAAGTCAAAAACTTGGAGCAACCGGTAATTTCGTTCCTACTTTTATTCTTGTGTATGATTCATATTTTGATGAGTATGTTATGAATCTTGAGCAACAAATGCGAACTTTCCAAATGGATTACATCTATAAAGTTCTCAAGGGATGCACATACTACAATGAGGTTGTTTTTCTAGATCTTGGTAATTGTTCGCAAGTACTACATTTTGATGAAAAGGTCAAAGAACTGCAAGATGAGGCAACTACGTGCATTTTCCAAGATCAAATTCTGCATGTCAAGAGTATTCCTTACCATCAACTCAATGGGCACCCAAGAAGCATGATCACTTTAATGCCCATGGAACCAAAGAAGGACGCACCATTCGAACGAAGAAAGTGTACAAACGTGGAGAACTTGATCGGTCCTTACGACACCACCAACACTCGAACACACATTTGGGTCATGTTCTTTACTCCAAGAGCCTTACGCGGTAACTTCGTTCTGATCTTTATTCTTGTTTATAACCAAAGGAAGCCATTTGATGAGAACACAAGTTGCACTAACATTGTTGTCCTAGATTTTGCTACTAGATTGCAGATCTTGTGCATGGTCGAAAAGAAGATTAAGGCAATTCCAACATTGACCATCGAAAGCCTCATCCGAGCACACGAAGCCAAATACTTTTATCATAGATGCATGGATGATTCAAGGATTAGAACCGCTATAAACCCAAAAACAATCAAGCAATACGAGCAATTCGATCGAGGAAGAACACGAGAAGAAGAGCAATATGATGTCGAGCACATTGAGTTAGAGGTGATCTAACCAAGGCATTAACAGCTCGAATTCTGATCCTTTGTCTCACGATATCATATGTTGAACAAGGGCATGGTTTGAGCCTGATGAGGACATCGGAGCTAGCAACTTGGACGAGGACGGGAGCTTAACGGAAGGAGCTCTAGAAGATGTTCAAGACTTGACCCAACAGGTGTCAAGACTCTTGCCGGATGATCATAACATCACAAGATCATTCGAAGCCGCGGGAACGGGATTTGACGTGCACAACGCGAAGGCTCCCCGAGCAAGCCATAGAGCCGAGCCTCCTCTCACTCGTGTTAGAGCTCAAGCCCTCCGCATCACGTTAACAAAGGTCGTCACTCAAGTTCTTCACGGAGTCTGGGATCACGACGCGAACACCTCCCTTTTCGGCCAAGACTTAACCCAGAACGTCTCCTCCATCATGGCTGAAAGCTATTGGACTCAAAGATGACTTCAAGCCAGCCCATGAGCTGTCCATTTCAGCCCAAGTACAAATCAATGCCCACCTCATTAGTCCATTAAATTCCAACAGCTATTTTCTTCCTAACCACCTTATTAAATGACAATTAGGCTCCTTCTCTTGCATGAAGACTTGTATTTATTGTTGTTTTCCCTATATAAGCCACCTAGAACTCTTTTGTAATCAGATTTGAACATTTGAATGAAGTAATTTCGAGCTTGCCTCATCCTTTGTTGGTTTGTCCAACAATCTCTTTCGGTTTGTCCGAAAATCCCGAGCTCGGTGTGTCCGACTCACCCTTCGGTTTGTCCGAAGCCATACTCGCCATCTTCCCCTTCATTTCCACCATCCATTCTCTGATTCTCTCTTGAATTCGAGTGCCACTTGAGTGAGCCGGTGATTGAGAGAGTTTCCCGTAAATCCCCTTCGATTATCCCCGTTTGTTCGTGAGTTCGAGTGCCGCTAGACGCGAGTCGGTGATTGCGATCAGACTTGCTTCCATCATCTTCTGTGCGTACATCACTAGTCTTATTATATTATCATTTCCACAATAATACACGACTAGGGAATTTAGAATCGTTCACAACGAACAATGGATTTCCTTATTCATCAAATATGCAAAACGAATAAAGAAAAATACATTCATTCACTTAACCAAAATCATGAACTGTCAATACAAAATGTCATGGTACTCATATCGTTAAGCAACATAGAGCATATAAACCAACATCTGTATTGTAATATATCCAATATTTAAGGTTCTTATTGATTTTATCAGATTTAATGGATGATATTATTGATATGGAATATGAGCGAATTGATCCAGACGAAGATACACAATTAGATAATACTAGTGGAAGAATTGAAATCAATTCTTATGTAAAGTCAATCTTTGAAATGTAAAATGAGACTTACATACGATGTGTGGGATCATTTTACTAGGATAAGTGAAACCCATGTTGAATATAATCACTACAACAGGTCATGCTCAAAAGGCGGATTCACATGGAACTACAACTTTAAGAAGGTATTTGACCACGTTCATGTCCACATCCATGACCATGCCAATAGTTATAATTTCAAAACGTCATATTTATCTCAAATAATACGGTAAAATCAGTTGGACGAGTTTGATGATTTTTTATTAAGAGCTAATTATTTTGTTCAACAATAAAGAAGATGTGGATCGAATCTTTATATTTTGTGAATTCCGTTGTTCGATATTGTTATTATATAACAGTATTATCAGTATGAAAAATTGACAATGTTTTTTTCAATGTATCAACATTCGACGCTTTTTCTCCACATAATTGCAATATATATGGAGATAATTTTAAACATTGCAGAATTATATTCTCGCATATATTTAAAATCTTGGTACCTCAAATTCAACCAATCATGTTTGGTCCTCAGATGAATTACATATTTTTGATGATCAAAACGATATTTGAGTGATTCCCATAAATTTGTGATATTACCTTTTGTTCGATATTCATCTTTTAATGTATTATCAATATGATATTCGCAGAAATATTATCGATACTTATAAGCTTTTGATGTCATATGTCCTTTATCGCTTGTTGCAACAATCTTTTTTTCGTTTAAATACATTTTGATATCAAATGTTAATGTCATATAATTTTTTCAATAAGTATCAAGGGTAACGATTTCGAAATTGACCAAGTTCGACATGTTTATCAAAAAGAGAACAAATTTATGTTATTCATAATTATTTATTCAAGTACGAATTTACGATAAATGATATATAATTATTCGTATAATATAAGAAATTAATATCATTCATGTTGTGTAAAATAATTGGAGTGATATAGTAACCCAATACAGAAATAATAATAATATTATATAAATAGTTAGCATAGTAAAAATATAATAAGGTGACATATTGATATTGGGTTTTGGAGATCCCTGAACATGCGTTCATAACGGTTTCTAGGTTTCCAATTTGGATTTCACGCAACATAATAATATGTAACGAACTCAATCAACAGATCTTGCATATAATGATAAAAGTATCAATATATCAATCCATTTTGATCCAAAGACATGTCACAAACGCTGAAATCAAACGCTCTTTACAAGTAGTCCATACTTACGGGTTTGTGTCTGCTAGACCACGATCTGGAGGTTGGAAACAAAAACTGAGACGTTCCTGGGAGATAGAAGACGACTGCTAGAGAGAGAAAGAAAGGGAGAAAAATATTATTTTTCTATTAATCTTACTTAACCCTAAATTATATTTTTTAAACACAAAATAAAGAAGTCATTATAGTTTTTTAAACCTATTGGACCTATTGGATCTTCAACTTAAGACAGCTAAAACCTATTAGAATATAGATCCATTGGATCACCTAAATCCATCTAATAAATTTCTAATAAGTTTCACAAACCGACCTGGTCAGAGTAACATATCTATCAATTAATCATTCATAACAATATTTATAGTTTGGTGGCATAATCGATCATCACAATAATAATAAAAATATTTATAAACATTCATATCATCGACTATTAGTTGAGTTCTCGAAATCTATATGAATGTGATATAAATATTTACGATTAACTTTACATTATTCAATGGTGGTTGACTCTATATATATATATATATAATAAAATTAAAAACAGAATCAAATTTGAAGAATGTTTTAAAATGAAAAATAATTAAAGATAAAAATTATATATTCGTTACGTTCGGATGATTTTTTAATTATAGATAATGTATTGTATTGTGTTACAAATAAAATGTCAATAAAGTCAATAATAATAAAGAAAATGAAAAGAGAGGATTGAAAGAGAAAGTGAACGTTTATATTTGGGTAAAATCCATAAAAAAATTTTAATTTATAAAATAATGAAAAACAAAATTTTAAACTTTTTGTTTATTTCCAAACTTGTAGAATATGACATTATAATTTTTAAACTTGTAAAATATTTCATTATAATTCCTAAACTTATTAATTTGTATTAGAAAAAACTTTGACAATATTGATTTAAAAATTAATTTGAAAATTATAATGATATATTTTATAAATTTAAAAATTATAATAATATATTTTAAGTTTGAGAATAAATTTATTATATAATAAATTTAAAAATTTATTTTTCACCGTTTTACGGATTTTACCATTTGTTTCCTATATATGACAACACTTGCACATTAGCCTACTGTTTAATTTCTTCGTACCGAAGAAACAAAAGCATTGGGTCTCTGGAAAGGTCCAATTCCAATGGGGTATTATAAAAAATAATTTTACTTTGATATTTTGACTTCAACACATATTTTTCTCCAACTGTGATCATGTGATCCGAAATACAGTGTGGTCACATTTTGATCTCATTGCTGATAACGTTAAATTTATGATGTTTTAATCAAATGATTAGTAAGACATACTATGTATGAATATAATAAATTAGTGTGATCCTTATAAATTTAATGTTATAATTAATAAAATTAAAATGTCATCATATTATATTTATATTATATTTATTTTAGGTGAGATGAACGACATGATCACTCATACCAAAGGACAAATGTATTTTTGATTTAATGCCCATTCCAACAATGACTTGTTTCTTTTCTCCGTTTTCTTTTTTAAATAAAGAGGCTGTGTCCGTATAAATTCGGCGGGCTTTCGTCGTAAGCTCCAGCATTTCTCAGTTTCTCTCTCTTCTTCTGCAAGCTTTTCTTTCGACTCCCAAGGCTCGAGGGGGAAAAAAATGGAAAATGGCGAGACGTCTAGTGATCTTCAGTCGCGCCCATGGCAATCGTACAACACTGTCTACACCAACGCCAAAGCGGGTGGTTCTCGGATTCTCACTCTAGGGTTTTTAATCCTTTTTTTCTTCTCTTCTTTCGTCGTTATCCAATCCCTTTTCTGATGGTATTATCCATCTGACAGGACATGAGTAATTTCGCTTCAGTTCGCAGTTTATTACAAATAGGGTTCGATTTTGATGTCCGAACCATGCGAAGTTGACTGGGCATACATGATTTGCGTAATTTGATCGGATTGGATTTGGAATGTTATGTTTCCAAACGAACGATTTGGAATTATTTTGGAATTTTCGTTGCTTATAGTCTCATAGAGCTTGCTTATAGTCTCTGCATATATTTGTGAAAAATCAAACTCCTGAATTTACGTCTTTTCTGATTTCCTTTTACATCCGTTCAATGAAAAATCGTGAAGTTTATGATCATTTTCAGATGTTGAATGTTTATTTTCTGAATTGCAAAGTCCCCCGGCTATGTGAATCCGCAATCCGGTTTCACTCAGTTCGGTAATACATGACTGTATACGATTTTTTCTTTAGGAATGGAGGGAGTTGATAAGGAGAAAGTCCAAAAGGTTGTATACGAAATGAGCAAGGGATCCAAGTATTTTCAGAACGAGGAACGTAAGGAAGCTCTTATTCGACAAAAAATCGAGCACATGCGTGAAAGGTGTTCAAAGCTCGCTTCTTCCGATTTATCTTCTTATCAGAAGGTATGAGGTTACCAATCTATGTTCAAAAATATGAATGCTGCAGAAATCTTAATTTGCTCTCAGTCTAAGATGTTTGAAGTCCAAACTGATGTACTCAGCACTATTGGAGTTGGCACTCCTTGTCAAGTAATGGTGGATATAATATAGTTTCTTTGTTTTCTATTTCCTGGGCTATCTGTTACATGTAAATAGCACCAATCTGGATTATGATACATAATGGGAACTGCTGACAAAGAATCAGTAGGAAGACCCTTTCGAAAATTTAAGAAATTGTATAATCTTGGATTTATAAATAGACTCACGATAAAATTCATAGGAATAACTCTTTTCTTCTTACCTTTTTTTGGCAATAGGGAAGAACTTTTTTCTCTGTTTTGATTATGTCAGCTGCAAAGTATGATGTTTTATCGTTTTGAAGGTGGTGGATAAAAGGATTTTAGAGCTAGAAGCTACACGTGACCTCTCCAGAATTTGGCTGCATGTCGATATGGATGCTTTTTATGCTGCTGTTGAAACTTTGAGTAATCCTTCACTCAAGGGGAAGCCCATGGCTGTTGGAAGCTTGTCCATGCTTTCTACAGCTAATTATGAGGTATTCCATGGTTTTGGTTTGGTTGAAGAAACACTGCATGGATGATATAATTTACTTGTCGTGGCTCGCAACTTGTACTTATTGTTTAGTTTTTACAATCTATCTTAGGCAAGGAAATTTGGAGTTCGTGCAGCAATGCCAGGCTTCATTGCTCGTAAATTGTGTCCCGACTTAATAATTGTTCCTACTGATTTCACTAAGTATATCCATTATAGTGATTTAACAAGAAAAGGTTAGTTTTTCTTCCTTTCGCTGAGGATATGTTTAAGCTTCCATTCCCTCCTCATTTCTCTCTTCTTACCTTTTATATATGTGCCTCGTTTAGTTTTTAGGAATTATGATCCTAATTTTGTCGCTGCCAGTTTGGATGAAGCCTACCTCGACATTACTGAGGTTTGTAGAGAAAGAGGCCTTTCAGGAGGAGAAGTAAGTGTGAGCAATGATATGCATGTTCTTTATGTGAGATAATTTTTTTACTTTGCTTACTAGTGGATTCTTACAATTTTGTTCTGTTCGGGTCTTCAATCTGTGCAGATCGCAGAAGATCTCAGATCTTTTGTTTTTTCTGAGACCGGTCTGACATGTAGTGCTGGAGTAGCTCCAAATCGCTTACTCGCAAAGGTTCCTTGTCTATGTGCTTAACATCCAAGTTGTCTCCGAACTCTATGTTTTTCGCTGGTTTTGCAGTTGTACATGTGTCAGAGTGCTCTAAATTATTGTTTTGCTGAATAATTTTTCCTTAATCCATCCCTATCACATTTCAGGTTTGCTCAGATATAAACAAGCCTAATGGGAAGTTTCTTCTACCAAATGATCGTGTGGCTGTCATGACATTCATATCTTCCCTTCCTATAAGGAAGGTATGTGATAAGCACATTGTTGCATTTTCTTTTGAAATCACTTGTTCGTCCAAGAATTTTTATGAAGGATTGATTTAATTAGGATACATCCAATTAGCTATTCATAGCCCCTCCCCTCGATTCCTTCAGTCTACGGATTGTGAACAACTTTCACCTAATGTGAGAATTTGAAGTGTGAGGCCTTGAGTTGTGGTGCTTTTCTTCATCTTATTAGTATAAAGCTTGCTTCTGAGATAAACAAGAAAATTGAATAACAGGTTGGGGGAATCGGTAAGGTGACAGAACATATCCTGAAAGATGCTTTGGCAATAAAAACATGTGAAGACATGGTACACAAGGGATCTCTCCTCTATGCACTTTTCTCTTGGTCTTCAGCAGGTAGTATCTCCTGTTTTCTTTTACCGTTTCCTTTGTGTGGAGCTGGATTAGTCTGTTTACTGTGTCTTAGTGTAACAAGGTAAGAAAAAAAAGGTGTCACCTTTCAGATTCAAGACAACTCACAATTCTATATGGAAATTTGTGGTCAGAATTTTCTTTTCACATCTGAAACTGATGGATTTGCAGTCTGATAGAACCCACCCAACAAAGTCTCAAAGCCTATGGGTAGAACTCACCCCAAAAACTAGCTTATTGGGGGAGGGTGCCCATGGTATTATATTGACTCAATTGTTCCCATATATTTCCGATGTGGGACTCTAACACAGTCTTAATTTGAAAAATTACTGGAGACCAGTTGCAAAAGTGTTTGGTATCTTCATTTCCAAATTCCAGAATTCTAGGGAATAGAAAATAGATACAAGTGAAGGATTATCCCCTCTATCTTGCTACTCGCAACTGCAGTTTCATGTTTTGCACTAGAGTATATGCCAATGCACTAATTACATAGTACAAATTCCACAATTTTGTAGATTTTTTTCTTTCTGTTGGACTGGGGCTTGGGAGGACAGATACCCCTCAGGCGAGGTCTCGTAAGAGTATTAGTAACGAAAGGACATTTGCCGCTACAGGAGACGAAATGGTGCTTTACCGTAAATTGGGTAAGTTGTTCAACCGTTCTTCTTGTATTTTTCTTCTCATGTATCAATGTATCATATGTTACAATGATGCAACTGCAGATATCAAGTGAACCAGTATATATCTTAATAAATTTTGATCCAAATGGTTTACAGTATTCATATTGTGCACAAAACATAGTTCTAGTCTTCATGTGGGAGTTTTTGATCATGTGTAGTCATAGAAGCTTATATAAATAATTGTTTTTCCCTTAGACATAACACCTATTGAACCACGCCATCTCTGTTGTTTTGGCAGCTGAAATTGCAGAACTGCTGTCTGATGACATGAAAAAGGAGGGCCTGTCTGCAAAAACGTTGACACTTAAATTGAAAACCGCCTCTTTTGAGGTGCTATTCCTATTAATCCCTCTTTTCTTTGGTTACTATAAATTTGCTTTCGGAATTTAGTCATTCCGTCCCGTCCTGAGAAGTTTGTGCTCATCTTCTTCGGAATCAATCAATGTGCATAATAATGTGACTGCCCTGCAATCCTCAGATTAGGACCAGAGCTGTAAGCCTGCAAAAGTACACATTTTCAAGCGAGGACATATTAAAGCATGCTTCAAAACTGTTGAAGGCGGAACTTCCCGTTTCTTTAAGGCTGATAGGTACTAGTTATTTAGTGTGGTTCCATCTGGTTTCTGTAGGAACTTAAGTATCATATTCATTGAGATTCCAAGTTCCAGAGATTTAATTTGTACCTGCAGGATTGCGTATGTCTCAATTCAATGAAGAAAAACGGAATGGTGATGCTTCACAGACCGCTATTACCAAATTCATTGTTCCAACAGATTCCTTTGGGAGAAATCTGCATAATCATGGCTCAATGGATTTAGATGCTCGTAAAGACTGCTTAAGTAACGACAACAGCTTGAGCTTGTCCTTTGATACTCATGAGATGAGCTACGATGACGATGGCAATGTCATGGAAGCTGACCCAAATCAAGAACATGCAAGAAATGAAGAAATCAACACAGTATATTTTCTCTAGCTGTGATCTATAAATTTGACACTCGGATTTTTGTTTTTCCGTATTTTGTCTCTCTTTCCTAATCACGATTCTCGTTTTCCTGACATTCAACTTTCCCAGAGGAACACCATGGATGATTCTTGCCATGCATTTAGAGCTCTAGATAAAGAAATGTCGCAACTCGTGGAAGTTGATGCATTGCTGGGGAAACACGAGGGTTGCAAACAAGATACAATGGGTGAGGAATCATTTGCAGTTTCGCCAATTAGGGAAATGGAGCAACTATTTTGGGTCGATGGCCTCAAATGTTCGATATGTGGGATTGAGGTGCCTCCAAATTTTTCCGAGGAAAGGCGAGAGCACTCTGATTTCCATCTTGCGGAGAGACTTCAAAAGCAAGAATCCGTTCCGAGTTCTTCAGCCACACCCATCTCGAAACGGAGGTAAGATACCATACTAGTAAAGTTAACGCTCTTGTTCTCTCTGTTGCTCACGAAACGGTTGTAAACAGTGTTAGGGCCGTCGAGAAAGCAAAGGGAAAAAAGGGAAAGAAGCAGAAGTCGGGGCCAAAGGAGAGCAATTATATTCCCATACATGCATTTTTCACAAAGAGCAACCAAAACTTCTGAGCCTCTTCTTCCACGCAAGTATTTATAGTATTGTGCATTGTTGAAATTATTTATAATTAGATCGGTATAGTTCGGCTTAGTATAGGTTGATTCTTAAATAAATAACCGCCCATTTTTTAATTCCATAGAGTTTAATGTTGTATGGTATGGAAGAAAAATAAATTAGTACAGATTTCACAACCCTTGAAGATATATTTTGGCTAGGATTTCCTAATGTCTATTTAATCCCAAAATTTGATATTATATTGTCTATTTTAACTATGTTGAAATTTACATTTTTGGTTTAGGTTTGGTCTAAGTATTTACATATTCAATTTGTTTTGTTTTAGTAATATTATAACTATTCAATTTTTATATTGAATTGAATTAAATTTTGAGAAAAATCGCATATTAATATCGGAATTTGTGGAAAAATTCTAGATAAATACATCAGTTATAAATTTTTTAAAAAAATATGGGAATTTTGATTAATTTCCACATTAAAACCTTAACTTTTAAACTGTTATTAGAAACTTCTATATCTGTATATAATGGTGGTTTTATAATCATTTAAAAGTTTAGCATTTAATTTAATTACAACTATTTAGAGTAATTTAAAATTTTATCGTTGTTAAAAAATTTCAGTTTAATTTAGAATTTTACAGTTTAATATAGAAATAAAAAAGAGCTTATATATTCATATGGAAATTTTAAATTCGTATATATATTTGAGTTTTTTTATAAGTTTTTTTTATAAGTTTGTGATTAGTACGTGATTTCTCCTTAAATTTTTCTAATTTTAAAATATTTATAATCATTCAATATTTGTATCCTATATATATAATGAATTCAAACATATTAACTTATAGAATCGAAATTGCCGCCCTGCCTGTACCCATAAAATACCAAAATCAAAATCAAATATCTCTGATTTTTTCTGAACAAAAAAAAGCTGTGTTAGATTCCGACCACGTGTCACTTTTGAGCTAGATATTTTCCCAAAGACAGAGACTCAAATCTCAACACAGAATCCTAATCCCTTGGAAGCCTCAAACGCAGAAAATGAAACTGCTCCCGAACCCACCAAAACCCAATCTCCCACCGCCCATCGCCCAAAACAAACCCAACGAAACCAAATATCTGCCGTCGATGTCGGAGATCATGACGTCATCCAGAGATCGGAAACTGGACCTGAGGATCCAAACGGTGGGGCCATTCTTCAGGGTCACGGCCAATAACGCCGAAGGAGGAGGCGGTGAGCTAGGGAGAGCTGAGGGAGTGGTCAGGCCATGGTTCGGCTGCGGGAAGATTTTGCATTTGGATTCCATCAAGTTGAAGCCCGAAACTTTGGCGTTGAAGGAGCGTTCCCTTTTGGGCGTTGGATTGTTCGTCGGAGCCGTAGCGGTGCGTTATGGCTATGACTGTGGCTGTACAACTGCTCAGCTCCTCGCTATCTATGACTCTGATGTCTACCACTCCAAGGTCTCTCTCTCTCTCTCTCTCTCTCTCTCTCTCTCTCTCTCACTTGATTTTTATAAATCTAAAAATTGGAATTTTTTTAGTTGATTGATTGATTTTTTTTATTATCAAATGTGACTTTTTTAAGAAAATTAATTTTATAATAATTTAATTGTAATTTTTTTGTTTTTATATTTTAAAAACCCAAAAACCTCACCCACCTTAGTTTTTTTAATTATGTCACCGTCCATTGTTTTCAAATTACAATCAAACCGAATTTAGTTTTTGTTTAAAATTAAACCAAGCCCTAAAATAAATCAAACTGATTTTTGTTTGTACCAATTTATTTGTTTTTCCTTTTGAATCAGAAGCTATTAATGAAATTCACAAGTAATTTGTTTTTTTTAGTAGCTGATGAAAATGGTATTTTCTTTAATTTAAAAAAAAAAGCTGGTTAGGTTTTACAAGAGGATGGGGTTCGAAGCCGTCTATGAAGTGAAGGGTTCATCAATGGGAGACATGGCTCACATGCTGACGTGGGGCGGCGTTGGAACTCTTATGGATGCCGATGTCGAAGACCTCCTCCTCAAATGGTCCAATGTTTTTACCAAATCCACTGCCTAACACATTTTCTTACACACTCCTTGTATTACTTGATTTTTCTCCCAAACTATGGGGGGTTTCTATGTCAATACAAATTTACATTTTCCCAAATCCAACTTACCATTATATTATCCAAACAATTGGTAATTTTTTTATTGGATAAGCGGTTCTCGTGAATCGAGATACAAACTAATCCTGAGATCATAAACAAATCATGTTATTGTTGAAATTATACTCCCGTTTTCAGCTTGAGATTTGAACTTAGGGCGATATAAAGTTTTGCATTTCCGTTTTACAGGTTGACCTAATCAAGTTGGGTAACAATCGGTAAATTTTTGGAATAGTTTGTCGGGTAATTTAACCGCTACGTATTTAATCGGATTTTCGACTTAAGAAAATGGGACCAAATCGAACTAACAATGGTTTAGTTTTAGGAAACATGAAGTTATAGTTAACACTCCAAAAAAAAAAACGAGTGAATAAACACAAAAGGATGACGAAATGAGATAGGTCGGATTCGTTCCTTTGTTTTGAACGAGCAAATAAAATAAAATATTTTTTACGAAACAGTTAATTAAAATATCTTTTGATGGAAAAAAATGGTTTACGAACCTCCACAGTACAATACATGAAAAAGAAAACAAAAAATTTTAAAATATGTACCCAAATTAGTGTTAATTTAAATTATAAAAATCTTAAATGTAACTATAGTAGGGTTTAAATATAAATAAGTTACACCACATAAATTATATACTAAATAAATTATTAAAAGTCTAAAAAATATTATAATTTGAAATCATAAGACTAAATCAACTCTAGAAAAAATACAATTAAGGCCAATAAAATACATGTACGAATAAGATATGAGATGAATGAAAAACTAATTATGAATACATAATTAGGAATCCCAAAACAATTTGTTACAAGTTGTTTTAGTTTTAGCGGTGGAAATCCTTTCAGTTTTTCAGAGAATTCTTTCATTAACTTACATTCACTAAATATTTCAGATTGTAATTGTAAGTCCATTTAATTTAATTAATTCTCCTTTGACACCCAACCAAAATATCCATGAAAATTTATTAATAGATCAAGATTAGTCAAAAAAGCAAACAATCATATTTCTATTAAAATACGCTTTAAACTTGATTCTAATTTAAAATATCATATTCATCATAAAAAATTCTGAACTATGACACTCAAATTTTCCGTCGTATATCGTCTATCCATGTTGCGACGGATAATTTAACTATATGTTTAAGAGGAAAATAACAAACCAAATATTAAAAAATTTATAATAATTATTTACTTTTATTTAGATTTAAAACATATAATAAAATATGATTTCTAATTTAAAATATATATATATGGTCATACCAATATATATATATATATATATATGGAAAACTTTTTGTTTCTTTATATATAATTATATAAGCATAATTAAGTATTATTTTTTTTATTCATCTAATTAATTTGGTAATAATTTGTTTCATAATTAGTTTTTAAATTACAATTTTAATAATTTTATTCCAAAAAATAAATAACATTTTTATGGAGTTAGCTTATAATTTTTTTTTATAAATATAACTATTTAAACATTTTTATGCAAATATTGTAATTTACAGTTTTTTTATAAAGAGTTTAAGATGTAAATATAATGAAATCACAAAGAAAAAGATAATTTTTCTTAAGATAGTCGGTTTAAGAAAATTATCAGATCAAAAAATAGAAAAAATCGAACCTTCTTCCGATATTATTCTTACTCTTGAATTTCACGTATATAATCATTTTTAAAAATTCTAAATTTATAGAACTACTTCATCACAATCTTCTTCCTAAATCCAGAAATTACAGAGACCAAACAGTACCGATTTTTTTTCTTTTTTTATTTTATTTCCGAAAAGAAACCCTACGAACACAAACATGAAACATACGTACATGCATACCCAATTGACAAGATTAGGAGAGTGTTCGTTTCCCAGGGCGATCGGCGATCTTCAACGTCTTCTCGATGAGATCTCTGGTTTTTCTCCGACAGATCTCCACCTTAACGCTCGAGCTCTTGTCCATTTTCACGTACGGTTTCTTCTTCTTCGACGTCGTCTTCTTCTTCAGCATACCCACCTTCGATTTGATCGTCTCCACCAGATTCTCCAGTTGGATTCCCATAAGACTTCCGATATAAACCCTAAGATTTCAAGGGGAGTCTGCGTTTTGGGGCTCAAGCATTCTTCTGAGTTTTTTTTTTTTAAATAATATTACACGAAACCAAACGTCTATGAGATGCTTCTCGCATTTATCAGGCTTTGACATTTATGGGGCAGTCGGTGGGAAACAGGGCATAGACTTGGAGATAACTTCGAGAGTGCCACTGGGTTTGGTTTTCGTTCAATCTTTGACTGTGGTTCTGGCCATTAAATAAAGGGATACATTTATTAATTATTTCATTAAAATTAAATTAAATAAATAAAATAAAATTCCAGAAATATTACTGAATGAATCATATTAATATTGAATTTTTCAAGTTCAAAAAAATATAAGTTTATAATTTAACAAAAGAAATATTGAATTTTTAAAATTTTTTATAAGAATCCGATACACATAGGTATAAAATGTATCATATAAGTATCTGAATTTTTAATTTGATCTAATTATTATCCTGAATACTTAAAATATTTCAAACTGATATATTAACTTATGAAATCGAAAGTAATTTTTAAGTTCAACTCATAAAATCGATGGAATTAATGAAACTTTATAATAAATTGTAAATATTATGGTATCGCAACTTATTCTTAAAAAAATACATTACACTGAAAATTTGGTCATGTAAATCTTTCATATGTCAAAGAAAATATTAATAATTTCATCGATTTTATGAGTTATGATATCAATTTGAAATACTTTATCGTTTGAGGTATTAATTTAGAATATTAAAATATTTAGAGTATTAATTAGATCAAATTAAAATTTTGTATATTTTAAAAGGTTGAGCTAATTATATAATAAAAAATAAAAGTTATTAGTTAGATTTTTACAAGATAATATTAATAATATTTACATTTAAAGGAAAAAAAAAGAAAAATCAAATGAAAGGAGTGCACGAGGATATTGTCATGGCTATGGAGTAGGTCCCATACCATTTTCCATTCCGTTGGAAGGATCATAAAATGTGAATTCAACTCCAATTATCACGTCCAAATTTATTTAAATACTTATTTTTATTCATGTGAATATGGCCCCAAATAATTCTTTAAATTTATTTATAGATCGTTCATTTGAATCGGTATTTTTAAATGCAAACATTTTAATGAAATTAACACAAAACTCACGATTATAACTTAAACTTGATTTTGGTATTTAATTTTGGTATTTGATTTTTAGACTTATAAAGAATTATGAAAAAGCTCATCAAACACCAATATTACAACAAATGCCAGATTCAAGGAACCTCAAAAGTCAATGGCAAAGTCAAAGTGAACAAGTGGTTTGCAAGTTCTCAAGATCTCCTTTTTTCAATTACTCAATGTCTTAATTAGCAGCAGCGGTCCGTATCCGTTGCTCTAATTCTACTATTATTTTAATTGAACGAATTTAATTAAATGCTCTAATTTCTGTTTCCAACAACAAAAAAATAGTATAATGTATTTTTGCTATAGAATTGAGAAACTTCAAAAGAGATACTTGTAATACTAGTAGAATTACAAATACTGAATCCATGCTAAAAAATGTTTAAATTTATGAAATTGAAAGATTGGATTTAATCGGCATTTGGAATGGTAAATATTTTAAATTGATTCACATTACTCAAATTTTTCTTTTTTCAAAACTTTTCCGTATCAAGATTTAAAAGCTCATTTTTGTTCGTATTTTGGTGAGGAATGCAATTTGTTTTAAATACGTTTAGAGAATACAGTAGTAAAATTTGTCAAATTAAAAGGATGAATTTAGCTGTTTTTAAAAGGATGTATTTAAAAACTGAACTTATACTAAAAGTTACAATACCCATATGCGTCTATTTGGTTCCTATGAATCGATAAGATTCCCACTGTAGTAAGCCTTCAGAGAAAATCACAGACATCTGTAATGTAGTGTTCATGAGGCTTGCCGTTCTCCCCACTTTCCGACCGAGAATCTGAAGCCAATAATTCCAACCAAAGAAAAGATCGACAACCAGTATGTACCTTAATCCGTTGTCTTTTTTTTTTTACACTAATCGGATATCTTGGATCAAGTCTAAATTAATCATAGGATCGGAAACTATCCTAGCGATTTGGAATATACATTCTCTCTCCAAATTTGAGGTTTGAATTCGAGGCAAGACATATTTGTGTGTTGTGTAAATATATAAAGGAACTTGAATATGCTCGTAACTTTTTAGATCGTTATTGACTTTAAAAAATAAACAAATAACTAAACTGAAATCCCATATTACTCCACCCGTCATAAAATGGATATAAAAAAGAGGTTCGGATCCTCTATAGAATGCACACCATAAGATCTGGTGAGTCTGTCTATGGAAATGGACAAATTTAGTTTTGATTTGAATTTGGTTCAGACTATTCTGTATTTCTATTTATTTTTTTAAATGTATTATGAATTAGACAAATGGTATTTGGTTCGAATTTGATGTGAAACTCAACCTTTTTTTTAATTAGGTTGGTGGAGACTCCAATAATTTTAAATAGGGTAAAACCAATAAAAATTTCTAAACTTGCAAAATGGTATAATACTAATTTCTAAACTTTTCGTTCCATAAATTTATTCTCAAACTTACAAAACGTGTCATTATAATTTAAAATTTGTAAAATGTGTCATTATAATTCCCAAATTGATTTATGAATCAATATTGTTGAGATTTTTTTCTTATATTGATTAACAAATTTGAGAATTATAATATCTTTTATAAGTTTGAGAATTATAATGACATCTTTTATAAGTTTGAGAATTGTTAAGCGAAAAGTTTACAAATTTATTTTTCACCATTTTACAAGTTTAACAATTTTTATGGGTTTAACACTAAGCTTTGCCGACTCTATTGACGGAATATCGATCACTGCAGGGTTGGTCGTTGTTCCGGTCGAGCACTCTCTTTTCTTCGTCCAATTCAGTCTTAACAAAGAAGACTGACTTCTCACCAACCCGCGAAGCGTTGTGAGTAAATAAGACACAAATTTGAATATGTTATGTTTGTTAAACTTATAAATTTGGAAATAGTTCAAAAAAAAAATCTCACAAAGTAAATGATGAAGAACAACTATATATAATTTTAGTTTGTAAGCCATTTTGGATAGTTCTAAAATTTTTTGTCCGTCCATATTTTGGTCCGTATTTTTTATTTTATTTCTCAAGTGTACATTGCCAAACACTTCAACAAGTCTACTTACAGTTTGTAACTTTTAGTTGCATGTTTTCAGAGTATCATTTTTATTAGTAGATAAAAAAAAGACAGCATGAGAGCAAAGACAAATGAGATGAACAAAAAAAAAACATAATGAAATTATGACAGCAAATGCCCAAGATTTCAGATCCTGCCCATTTCACACAGGCTTCTCAACACTTCAACTGCTTTGTCGATGTCTTTATCGCCATTCTTGCTAATCCGATCACTCATCTCTGCTGCTCTCTTCTTCACAAGTTTATGACCATTCCCTTTCACCACTTCTTCAATCACTTTTGCTATCTCTTTTCTCTCAAACCCTCCTTTCTCGTTCCTCTTCACCTCCATTCCGACCCCTACTTCCTCCACGAGCTTAGCATTAACGGGTTGATCGTTATGCACTGGCGATGCTATGATGGGAACTCCAAGTTTCAAGCTTTCCATTATCGAACTCCATCCGCAATGGCTCAAGAACCCTCCCACGCTTTCATGCCTCAAGATTCTTGCTTGTGGTGCCCATTTCTCTATAATGATCCCTCTTTCGTTTACTCTTTCGGTGAATCCTTTTGGGAGTGTCTCTTTCGTCGTCTTCTCCTCTCCGGAAGGAAACCTTATCACCCATATGAAGTTTACACCGCTTAGCTCTAGACCGAATGCTATCTCTTCTATATCTTCTGCTGATAAGAAGATCTCGCTACCGAAAGAGACAAAAACGGTGGAACCCTTTTCTTTCTTGTCAAGCCATTCAATGCAGCTTTTTGAAGTTTCATCGTTTTCATCGGTCTCAGACTGTCGAACGAGTGGACCGACCGGAACCATTTTCTTGTTGAGTAAAGATTGGAGATAGTCCAAGCATTCGCCCTCCAGTTCTCGAAAACTCTTCACCAAAATGAGGCGAGAAGACCGCTCCAAGGACATGGCAAACCTCTCTATATCAGAAACTTCATTGTCCGAAGGTTTCTGAGAAATCCGAGCGATGCCTCTATCCAAACACCCTTGAATATCACTCAAGTTAGGGAATGGAAACTTCTCATTGGGTCTCAGGTTTGGATGAAGAAGATAAGAAGTGAATGCAGCAGAAGAAGATAGGAAATGGACCGAGGGGATGTTAAGAGACGATACCATTTCGGGTACCCATTGCTGCATAAAATCATATATAACGAGATCTGGGTTCAAGGTCTTGAGCAAGGACAAGAAGTTGAAACTTGCCATGTCTAGAGCTTTGTGTAAGGTGTTGATGAGATGGGGAGGGAGACCATTTGTGGTGTGGTAATGAGGAGGGAGTTCCGACAAGTTTGGGAGTTTGAGTTCAACTAGTTGGATATATTCTGAGTATTTGGATCCAATCTTTGGTCGGAATGAGTTGAGATTCACAAGTGTTGAAACAAAATAGACTTGAAAATTTCTCTCGGACATTTCTTTTGCTAACTCAAGGAACGGAGATACATGACCATGAGCCAACCATGGAAACATCAACACACTAAGACTCTTTCCCTTACCTTCCTCCATTTCGTTGCCCTGTTCTTGGATTTGCCTGATTAAGGCATTGAAACCTAATCATATGATGCGACAAATCTTGTACTTTGTGAAATGCCCAAGTGGTTGGAGCCGTCTCTTTCTAATAATAAAGACTTTTTGCATTTAATATTATAATGAACGGTTGGAAGCTGCGGGTCCATTTATTTCCTAATCTTATCTCTTGCAATGAAAATTCAGTGAAGTCAAGCCTTTGTCATCAAACACGTAACCAATACAAATAATAGAGATAACAAATCTAACACTTGAGACTTAAAAATAATTTTTCAAGTACTCCAGCAGATTTTATAGTGAATTCATGCACTAAACAAAATGAGATAAGAAACCCAAACTCGAAAATTTCAATCTTTTGTCTATGGATATTGAATTGTGTGATATCAACAATGAAGAATTTACACTGAATATGCGTTAATTTACACGATTTTTTTTTTTTTAAAAAAAAATTAAAGACGATATTTACCTATCCAAAGATGAGAGATAAGGAATGTGGTGATTCTCATCCGTCCATGAACTTCGAGGTGAAGTCACTTGAGGCATCGTCTCTGAAATCCGGGTTCTTCTGCTCTTTGTTTTGCCCTGCATGAAGATTTTCACAAGGTTTCTGTGAGTAAATCTCGAAAAACCATGGTAAAGATGTGAGCGATCTTGTGAATGGACTGAACCGACCTTTAATCTCAATTCTTGTAACTCGCTCTCGAGTGAAGTGAGTTTTGTCTTGAGCTGAGCAAGTGCCTCTTCAGCAACTTCAGGGTTTATGTCTGAAACATGTTCTTTAATGCCGGCTGCCTGGAGATTTTATCCAAACAATGGTGTGTTCAGATGGAATAAATACATCAAGTTTCGTGATTTTTCGGGTTCTGAGGCCATTATTTTCTTACCTTTAGGACACTGGTGCAAAGGCCTACTAGCTTCCGAGCTAGTTGCATTCTGTCCTCCACGGCTTCCTTCAGTCTGTTACTTAGCCTTTGGTCTTCTTCTAAGTTTGGACATGGATTCTTCCCAGAAGACGCACGGTAGTAAGCAAGCTCTTCTTTGACACGTGAAAGAATTACCCCTGCCCGTCTTAACTTCAGATTGAGTTCATCGTTCTGAAGTTTTAGCATGTTGTTCTCTTCCTGTTGCACATGATGCAAGAATTGTGAGTGAGAATAACGTCAAAATGCAAGAGACAGGCGGGAACTAGAAGTTTCTTGCCTTGATTTTGGCATGATCATGAGCCTTTCTCTGCAGATTTTGTTGGGCAGAAAGCTTCTTAACTTCTCCTTCAAGCTCCAATACCTTTCTCTTGTGACTAACATTCTCCGTCTATTTTAAAATCCAAAAAGATCCGGATATGTTTTTTTTGTGAACACCATTCACTTTGTAATATGCATAGTAGTAAAACCGAAAATTGGAGGCCAAAGTTCCTAATTTCCCAACCTTCAAAAGTTCGTTTTCTTTCTTGAACAGCTGTTCATGTTGGCGATGTTTCTCGAGCTCTATCTCTGCAGCTACTAACTCTGCCTGTTTTCTCTCGATTTCCTCTATCCATCTGCAAATGAGACATTGTAATTAGAATATGATAATGATTGGACAAAGTCTTTGGATAAGCCGAGAAGGAAAAGCATCATTTTCTTACCCTTGCCTTTCCTCGATATATTCATTGAGTTGCTTCTTTAGCTTAGAGACCTCATTGTCCTGCATATTCCAATTTTCAGGACAAGAGAAACTTGGTAGCAAATGTCAACAGGTTCTTCTTTTTACCCGCTAATGATTACCTTTTGTTGTGAATCCGAATTATCAAGTTGGACCTTCTCTGCAATCTTCAGCACTTGGTGATTATCCAAGAGCGACTATATGAAACAACAGCAGAAGATAGGAGAAATTCATAAAAGTGTTCAGTAACTATTCACTGGTTTGAGTGATGAAATAGGTTTCTTCAGAGATTCAAGAACATGTAAATATAAGCCATGCAATGATACGTATCTTTCATCAACAAAACTAAAAACAAAAATCAAGAAATAAGCAACATGAACAAGACATTAAATACTTACTGCACAATTTGTCACATTGAGTTTGACTCCTAATAAATCTCGAATAACATCATGGGTCATGCTCTCCACCGTGGCAAATCTTGCATTCAAGGAGAATATCTGGAAGAAAATGAAATCGATATGAAAACTATAGGGCAGTCCTGTGCACAAAGCGTTTCCGTTGAGCAGGGTACGGGGAAGTGTTCCACCAAAAGGGTGTATTATAGGCAAACCTTACCTTGTAGAATATTTTGCAATATGAAAACTATAGATGCAGAAATTTTCACGGAACATACAACATAATGTTTTTTTCATGTTACCTCTTTCTGTCTGGTTGCAACTTCAGATTCCAACTCCTCAATTCTTAGCCTTGCAGCAGCAATCTCCTCATCCTTCTCAGATTTCATCTGTTGTGCCATCCCTAACCCAATGCACCTAAAAGGGGAGCCCGAACCCCTAGGTTTTGCTGAAGTTTTACTTGATGAACAACTCGTGGAATGAGAAACATGGCTTTCTGGCTTTGCTTGCTCAGACATTGCCTCCAATTCCTTAAACTGCAGAAAAAATGATTCAGACATATTCTAAGGCCAAATATTGAAGTTATCAATCTACAAGGGGCCAACTTACCTTCTTTTTGTATTCTACAGCCTGAGCTTCTGCATGCAATGTAAGTTCTGAGATGTGGACTTTCAGCTGAGCAATCTGTTGCAAAATAAGCATATATCATCAGAAATTTTGAGACGAAATACAAATTATGTTCCGGGTTCAAATTCAAGATTATTGGATAGCAAAAATCTACCTCGGTTGTTTGGTCAGCCATGTCTCTCTCAAGCATTTTTATAAGATTCAAAGCTTCTTCAAGATCCTTTTGTTTTTTGTCTAAAAGCCTTTTAACAAAACAAAAGCATTAAATGAGTAGTTGAGGTACTTGATGTTTCCGTACAGGGGCTTGAAGTTTCTGCTAAAGAGGATTGCCTGACTTTTACCAACCTTCTCATTTCAGCATTAGTATTCATAGCATTTCTCATCTGCTGATTTATGGTTTGAAATTCCGACTCTAGCTCCTCCCTTTGCAGACGTTGTCTTTCAGCTTCGCCTTTGATGACGTCAACCTAAATGAAATACCACTATGAGACATACTGATCAAGATGATTTGAGGTTGTTATTGAATGAAACACAATACTAGTTCTAACCTTGTTTTCCAGTAGATTCACCGTATACTCGAGTTTCTCAACTGACTCTTCTAATAGTTTCACTTCTTGTTCTCTCTCGTCGGCATATATCTTTCTTGCTTCTGCTATCTGCTCACACATTTAGAAACAAGTTGTTGGAAATATTGATCAAGCACAAGGTTTGGAAATTGGGATACACTCTGTCGATGTCTGTTTGTTGTCTACCTCTTGGGCTTCAATGTATCTCATCTCGGTTTCTTTAGCCTCCGCTTTCAGTTTCCCGAATTCCTCTTTCAAATAAAGGACCTCTTCTCTGAGGTTATCTTTTTCATCAGTGGCCTCATCCAATTTGATGTGCATCATCTCAACCGTGCCATTCATTTGTCTGAGAGCATCGCTTAGTTCAACAAGTTCTATCTCCAAGCTCTCTGACACCTTCTTTGTCTCAATCAACTCTTCTTCCAGTGAACATTTTAACCTGAATGCCTCTCCAGCTTTATCTCTAAACCCCTCATTCTCCCTTGAGAGTGTTTCCTGGTATTCTCTTTCCTTTGCAATATCTGCTTCAAGATCACAAATTACTTCTCTGTTCTCTAGCAATTGACCTTCAAGCATCTGGGTACGAGAAATAGCCTCATCAAGTTCACATGACTTGGAAGCGAGCTTCTCTTCTAAAGCTTCAACATGAGCCAGTATTTCCTCAATTTCATCTTTCTGGTCCCTGGAATTGGAAGCCGATTCCTGTAGAAGGCTGAGGTCGAAAGATAATCCCTTTATAACCTCATCTTTCCTGAGTAGCTCATCATGGAGGCTCATATTATCAGATAATATCTCCTGAATGTCAAGTTGCAATGATTCAACCTCAGCAACAAGTTTGCTAGTCTTATCGGCACTTTCGCAGATCAGTTGAAACATTTTGTCAAAAATAACCAGACCATCTCCACTTAATTTGACAACCACCCCACTAGCTCTAATATTTAAGGATTCAGCTAGATCTTCACATTTGGCAATGCACAACCTCGTGGTACTTAGGTCTTTAAACTTTTCTTCCCTTACTTTGACTTCCAGTTCTTCCTTAGTGGCAATCTGCAAATGCTCAAGACTGTTGAGTTCAGAAGATTTCATCTGTAAATCATTCTGTAGGTTGGCAATACAAGACTCAAAAAGGATAACCCTTTCTTTGTATGCCTCGTTTGCTTCTTTCAAGTCAATAATCTTTTGTTCACTGTGATTCAAATCCAGTGATAGACCTTCAACCTTGCCCAGTGCTTCCCCCAGCTTTTGTTTCAGTAAACCTGTCTCAAATTCATTATCAACCAGACAAAGTTCTTTTAGCTGGTTCTCTACATGGGAAACAAAGAGCTCCTCCTTATGATTCTCAATGGCAGCATGGTGACGAAGAAGCTCTCTTCCAGCAACCGCTATGCTGGAAAAACTCTCTTCTAGCGTTAGTGCTAGAACAAGTGACGCAACATCCTTTGAGCAAAACTCCATCAGATAAAACTGCATCTCTGTGTCAAAGAAATGATCTTGGTCTTTTAGACGCAATTCTTGATCAAAGAGAGTTGATGCTAGGTTCCTATTGCTGAAATCCAACTCCTTCATCAAATCAGCTAGTTCAGAGCCAATGCTATTAGACCTTTGCAACATCAGCTCCTCCTGTTGCTGTAAACCTGAAATATTCAGCTCAAAAGTGCTTAATCTTGAACCGAGCTGATTAGTTTCTTCTTCTTTTCTTGAAATTCTCTCAAAACCTTTCTTTATGTCAGCCAGTAGTTTTCTCCTGAGAGTTCTACACATCTCCAGCTCCCTTCTTAACTTTAGATTGTTCTCTCTCAGTTCAGCTATGGCTGAGTTTGATTCACTCAGGCCATGGTGAAGCAGACCATTTTCCGTATTCATCCCGACAACTGTTTCTAACAGAATTCCTGTGTGGCAAAGATGTAGAACAGAAAATGCACAATCTTTCATTATTATTTCTGACCAGATATCCTCAAGGAACAATCTAGCCGACCTTGTTTCTGAAATCCAAGATTTTATGTCGGAGAATTCACAGCCTATACCTAGTAAGGCCTTGGAAGAGTCATCTTGTAGTTTTCTGATGATAGCTTCAAGCTCATCCATGAGAATGTTTGTCTCCATGAAACTTAACTCGAGTTGCTTCTCTAGCTTCTCAAATTTCTCCTTTTCTTGTACATTTTTAGATTCCAACCCATGTAGCTTGTCAACTAAGACGTCTCTCTCACTGACCAAGGTGATTTCCTTTTTCTTGTGTCTTTCCAGATCAAGCTTCATCTCCTCGTTTGCTATTACCAGTTCATTGATCATAGTATCGGCTTCTTTGATGACAAATTGAGCCTCTTCGAATTTGGTAAGAATACACAAGTTTTCTGCATCTTCCTGGTCAGCTAGTATCTTCATCTCAGCAAATTCATGCTCCAAAGCCTATATAATAAATTTAAAAATTAAGAAAAAAAATGGAACAGGAAATTCCCTGATTTTGAACATGAATGTAATAGATAAAATTATAAGTCTGTCTTGTATCTTTGAGAAGGGATGAGCAGGCACTTACCTTGACTTTGTGGTCTGTGACTTCCATCTTGCTCTTGTATTGCTCTTCCATGTTATTCATGGCACTTTCTAGGTTAAGAATCTGAGCTGTTACATCTTTTAAGCTACTAATGCTTCTTTGCTCGGACAACCTTAGCTCTTCCTTTTCACTCTGAAGTTTGACCATCTTAAATTGAAACTCCTGTAAACTTCCAAAAGCAGACTCCAATTCTCCTTTTAGTAGTAGAATCGTTTCGTCTCTCCCGCTAGCCGCCTTGTTGCTAACTTTCGCCGACTGCATTTGCTTGTTGTGTGGGGTCTTCTTCTCTGTACAAGAAGAGACACATACATCCTTTCTCGTTTCCTATATGAAATAAATTCCAATAAAGGAGCATTTGTTATAATAATTTGTATTACTATATATAAAAAACGTGAATTATCATGAACAGAAAGAGAAGCAGAAGCTCACCTGTTCTGCATCGCTGTGAGCTGGAGATGCTAATGAATCTTTTTCCTTACCATATTTGTCAGGCTCATGAGACATGCTCATGCATGATCTGACCCCTGATATGCCACCTTTAAGCTCGGAAAGTTTTTCATTCATCCTCAAAATTTCACTCTCTTTGATGTTTTCGAGATTTTGTTCCATTGCATATGCATGCTTCTCTGCCTCTAGGAGATTCCTTTTAAATTCATTACAGGTTACTTCCAAATCTTCTACTTGTTTCCTCAGGGAGAGGATTTCTCCAGCAGATTTCTTAAGCTGAGAATCCTTTTGGTTCAGCTCACAGGTCTGAGCATCAGCTACGTGCGAATATCGACTGACAACAACTAGAGCAGCTGTTGCACAATGTGATGCTTCATAAATCTTACTTTCAGCCATCTTCAGGTTCTCCTGAAGCCTTGATACACTTTCTGTTTTAGTGTTCAACTGTGATTTCAGAAGGAGAATCTGCCTCTCCTTTTCCTCGCACTCTCTCTGATGTGCTTCATTGATTACAAGTGCTGCCCCTCTTAGTGACTTCAACATAGACTCCACATCATATCTTTTGTTATTAGCATCCTCCAAACAACTTTGAAGATCTTCAATCATTAATTCCTTTTCACAAACCACTCGTGCTAGTCCCCCAACCTGTTCAGATATCCATACCCTTTTCTCTGGGAAGGAGCTTGAGATTAGATCAACCTGACTACATGCATCAGCAAGGGCTTCATTCCCATTCAGCAAAATTTCTTCCAGCTCAGATGTAAGAATTTCTACTTCATGAGATAAGATTTGTAGTTCTGTATCTTTTTCTTGTAAATTTTCTTCCAACAGGTCATTATCCTCAGTCATATCTCGTAATTTATCTTGCAGCTCCACCACCTGAGTTTCCAAAAGCATTACCTGCTTTTGACTAGCTGTCTCTTTTGATTGGAATTCCTCAACTTCCTTCTGAAGAACTTCAAGCTCATTCTGCAAACAGATGATCACTTCAGCTGTGGCAGCTTCAGCCTGCCTGTGAACTTCATCCATGTCTTTGTCACTGGAAGTCTTTGAACGAATATCACTCTTGTACAATGCGTTTAATCTCCGGGCTTTCTCTAGAGATTCTTGCATCTTCTTGAACTTTGTATCCATTGTGTAGTTTTCCGGAGGATTATCTTTCAACTCATTGCACTGTTTGGCCTTCATCTCTGTGATCTCAAACCCTTGTTTCTTGATTAGCTCAAGATAATGGTCAGTATTTTTCCCCAGGTCTTCTATTTCTTGGATAGATAAAACATTTTGTGACTCGAGAGCTTCAATGACAGACTTTGCCTCCTGCAGATCACAGTTTGCATTATCCTGCTGCTTGCTCATCATAAGAAGCTGGCCCTTCAACTCCAGCAGATCTTGTTTGAAAATCATTGCTTGTTTCTCGGCTTCTACACGCTTCATTCTTTCCTCATCAAGTATAATTTTGAGAATATCAAAATCAAGCTGCAGTTTGATGATTTCTTCTTCGTGACTGATCTGATGACCAGCAAGTGATTCTTGTATCTCAGCATTTTGAGTTTCAAACAAGGCCTGCATTCATTTCCGGAGGTAACCATTTGTGAGCGGGAAGGTCTAATAGTAACATGCAGAAGCAAGGACTAAGATGAGTACACAAATTAGTAAACCAGATCTGCAGAAATGGTTTTCTTACTGCCCATACCTTTGTTGTTTTCAATTTTTCATCTTCATCAGGTGTACAAGCCTTGATATTGCTGATCATGGCTTGTAGATCTCGGATTTCTCTGAACAAGATGGGTGAAATAAAAATCATATCACAAGGATAGAGAAAATGAAATTACAATCTGAATTCTGAATTCTTTTACAATGAAACAAGAAAAGCTGGCAAGAATTCTTGATCAGATTTCCTTACCTGCTTAGTTTTGCATTCTCTTCCAGGCAGGAGCCAAGATGACTCCTGCACTCCTCAAGTTCAGAAAGGGCATTTTTCAACTGCAACAAAAACATAAAAATGAATTTGACACTTCAAGTTATATTCAAACGGCAACAGGATCAGAGCTGCAGAAAAAGAAAAGTGTAATCAACCTCATCATTCAAAGAACTATCTTCTTTGCTGATACATGAAGCGTCCTGCAGCATGGAAGTTACTATAAGAACAAAATAAAAAGCACACACTGTTGACAAAAAGACCCCACAAACGGAATAATCCCATATGGATCTCAAAAGAACAAATCAACATATAGCTTTGTTTCAGATACAACTCGACGTTTAGTTGGAACAAAATATTGTGTAGGGTTTGTAGCTTTAAAGAAGATCATGGATCTAACCTGTGACTGCTTTTGAAAATCAGGTTGTTCGTGCCAGACAGAGTTTCCATCGAGAAATTGTAGGAGCTGTAAACACAAAAGACATTGTTAAGTAGGACAAAGGACAAGAAAAGTGAAAGAGTACCTTGATATTGAACTACATTAAACGAGAACCTGATCTCGGAGATTTGAGACTTCATCCAATAGAATTTCTCTCTCGCCTTCCTCGTAGAATTCTTGAAATCTGTAAAGTAACATAACAACGAAATTAGGAAAAATGTAATCGTCTATTGGGATCTTAGACAACTGCAAATGATATACAACCTTCTAAGTTGTTCCAGAAGCCTTATATTTTCTGATGCAAAGCGAGTCACTTCAGGGTTTTTATCAAGTTTGGCTTGAAGAAGCTGAATTTCTTCGGACAACACTTTATTCTCTTCCTGCAGGAAGGAATCTGCAGATATATGATTGCCAAGAAGTGATTCCAGCTTCCGTATCTTGTCTTCCCGAAACCTCAACATCATTTTTGTGCTCCTAGTATCTTCCTCTCTTTGACGAGCCTAAGGAAAGTAGTAGCATGAGCAATTCTGCCATTGCCTGGAACAGAATCAACAAATAGCTGCAGGTTTGGGGAAAAGGAATTACCAAACGGTTCAGTTGTTCAATCTCAGCTTCAAGCTTCTTGATTGAAGCATCTGCCACGTGTTCTCTTCTCAGTGCACCAGCAAGTGTTTTTTCCAAAGACTTGAACTGACAGATAGAAAGTTTTAGTAAAATGAGGTTTGCTTGCTAGCATTTATATCCCATTCCTCAAGGCTGAGAGAAATAAAATCTCAATAACACTCAAGAATTTTGGATGTTTCTCAAAGCTTTGTTTACCTGCTTTCTGGACATCCTTAGAGAACCTCCTGATTCATAGACATTCAAATCATCAGTCTGTTGATTCCCTGTCTCATTCATACCACATGACAGAAGACAGGTTTGAACTTCTACAACATTGCTTCTTGCTGATCCAAACGACAATGCCCTGGAGACATTCTGATGCCTGAGAAGGGACAGTTCTTCCTGTTTCAAAAAGCTCTCGGTTTTAGATTTTGTGCTGGCACAAGTACAAAGCATTGGAAACTAACTTTATATGTAGAACCTTTAGAAGTCGGATTTCGTGTTGCAGTGCCATGACATCCCAAGTGGAATCCTCATTTACCACGGCCTATCCGATTTAAAAACAAATATCATTGAAAGTATAGTCATGAAAAAAAAATCCCCCTCTGTGTTTCTTATGATGATAGTAGGAATTTTTAACAAAAAGCTTACATTGTTCTTGATTAGCTTGGCTCTTTGAGCAAATTTGAGTGTGTTTAGCGTCTCAGCTGCACAGCTGTGAAGTAGAACATAAGAGAAAACCAGCAAAATTGTAGACTGAGGGTATTATCATGACCATGCACATCGATGTAAAAATATACAAAAATATATAAACGTACTTGATCGAAGGGCTGGCATTCGCAATGATCATTGTTTTAGAATTCCCACCCAATGAGTCCTGCAGGATAAAGAATGGCTGATATGAAATCATGAAGGTACTTCAGCAATTTCAGGGTAAAAGAAAGGCAATTAACTAAGAGATGACCTGAAGAAGAAACGTAAGCCTCGAATCACGATATGGAATATGCCTTGGTTTCCCATTAGCAACATCCGCGAGAACCATGATTACATGTCTGCCATCAATAACGTGTCAATGAAGCTACTATCACAAACTATGAAAAGCAGATATATATATATATATATAATATATATATATATATAATAATTTCATTAGTTAATGGAAAAAGCATTCTGATATCGCTGAGTTACCCTAATGTGGACAAGGATTTATTGATGTTAGCTGCTTCTTTCAGACGTTCACCCTCAGCACCAGAAGTTTTCTGCCTGTTAATAGAGGAAACAATGTAAGAAGAGGCTTTTATGTCAAAAGGCTCAAAACCAAGCTGAAGTACAGTGGTTACCTCTCTGATCCGGCAAGATCAACCAGGTTCAGCCTGGCAAAACGCAAGTTTGTTGTCGAGTCATTTTCCCACCTACTCTCTATCACACATGTAAAGACACTATGCGACCGGCTGCTCTCTCTGTTCATATTTGTGGCTCCAACCCTTCTATTTAAAGAACCCTATGTAACATAGTATTGATTTCACATACCATAAACTAAATAAGAATCCAGACAAGAAAAATAGGAAGGCGGAAATGCAGAACATGTCTTTTGGCAGACAGAAAATGATTAGTACCTGAGATATAAGCTTTAAGATGCCTTGAACACTCTGAACTTCATACTCAGTGAGATTTTCCACATATACACCTTCCTTAATGTCCTCCCGGAGCTAGAAGAGAGTGAGAAAGCATAAGAAACTAAGTACAGAAGTTTTGGACATGTGCATGAACAAAATTGCAAAAGATACCTGTAAATTTGTTGAACATGGGTCAAGAAGGTCTGTAATTTGTTCATTGTAAATTTCAAGGAAAGAGCATTTGCAATTATACTTTAGTCTCTCATCTCTTCTGCTTTCTTCCTCCTGCCAGGTGAACATGGTGGAAAGAATCAATTAGCCATGGTTAGTATGCCGGAGAAAGAAATGGAAGAAGCAAGATCACAGGAAGGTTACAGCTTGTATTCTTGCAAATAAAAATTCGAATATCCGAGGCATCATTCCTCTGTGGGGACTTGGTTTCACTTCTAATTCATCGACTTCACCAAGCATTGTATAGGTTTTCCCACTTCCTGTCTGCATAATTACAAAAAAGGAAAAATATCATCAAATTATCAACCTAATCTTGAAAGAAAAAGAACGATAACCTTGTCTTTCCTTCCCAAATTATTTTGAATGAACACATTCTGGACACTTAAATAAACCATCTGAGTATAACCTTGTTACGAATTTCGGCTTCTTTGCTTGAAAAGGCCAGAGTATATGCATAAATTTTCAATTAAAACAAGGATATCATCACCAACTTACCTAAAATGGACAACCGGTGAATTCTTTCAAACAATTCAAATCTTTGTTCATTAGAAAGGGTCTTAACGTATAAGAATTCTCCAGACAGCACTCGAAGGTTTAACCTAACTCAAAGGTATTGTTGCTGAGCAACCATGGCCTACATAAGATGCCAATCCACCTCTAAGTTATAAGATGAATATACCTGGCCGTAAGCGAAAATGCAGCTGTTGTAGCCAGACAAGCAATTTTCCACCATCGGCAAACCAGCAACCCGGAAAAGTGTTTCCTGCAAAGTTTATATTGAGAAGCAGAACTCAATAAAATGTTCAGAAAAGGGACTTTTCAGATTCATTACTTTTCTGAATATTACCTGGTCAATTGTTTCACAAGCCACATGATCAAACATGAATCGTGTTTCTGGTTGTCCAACCCATGTTATGATCTGAGAACTTTCCTGTTTTAAGCACCTGTTGTATCCATTTGTACTCTTCTCCATTGTATTCAGCGGACGGACACGTATAAGAATCTAAAATACATTTAAAGAGGAAAAGCGAAAACAGTGTCACCAAATTTTTCAATAGTTTCCATATACGTGGAAATAACATCAGTTGGAGATGTTTCATTCACTAAATGATCCATTCAGTAGGTTCTTTATGGAAAAAGACATTAACTTGAAACAAAATTAGGAACTCAGTGCAAAAATGAAATATCTAATTACTAGAAAACAAACTATACGATAACAACAATGATTTGTTACCTGTACATTGTGGTCCATCCAAAATGATGGATCCTCCTTGAGATCAAAGTGAGGAACTTCGACACTGTTAATGACCGTTGAGACATGTCCAGAAGAACCAGACATCCCTCTGTATGATGAGGCATTGCCCCCAACCCGAACTGGACCTGAACCATCAACCCTTCCCCTGTAACCTGAAGCTGGTGGCTTTGAGATGCTCTTTGTGGGCGTGCTCTGTGTGGAATTCGTCTCAGAATAGCCCGAATTTGCTCTCCCGACGACTCTAGTGGTTTTAGGAGTCATGTTCAACGAACCCACATTAGTGTTTGAGCTAGAATCACCTTTCTCTCCCCACCTGAATTGGCTTCTCGAGAAATTGGCTGACTTTTGCCGATCTGGCGTTTTTAGAGGCAATGCAGGATCAGGGTTTTTGGCTCTGGGCTTCGTAGGTGTTCGTTCGATCTTACTCCGAGATTCCTTTTCGGGTTTCGGGTTCATCAGTGGGTCTTGGATTGAATTCAGTGGAGCTCTCGGCAATGGAATAGATGAAGAGGAATCGTTGCTCATTTGAGACAACATCGACTCTCGGAGATTCACTGGGACATTCTCGATTTCTTCGTTCTGGCCCGAATTTCGTCGAAGAAACTTGAAATCCCTCAACATTCTAAAGAAATTCGGTACAGAAGCCAGGAAATCAGCAAAATACGCAAACCCAATATGGAAAAACACAAACTTAGAATCATAGTGAAACTTAAAACTCGTCGGATTTGCTAAATAGAAACGAAATGTCACCTGTAAGAAGAACTGAAGAATTTTTTAGCTCAGAAATCCCCAATCTCCCTCTCTCTCTCTCTCTCTCTCTCTCTCTCTCTCTCTCTCTCTCACTCTCAATTGTGAGAGCCTGAGCTCCGAAGATGGAGTCAGAAATGGATGAAAAAAAGTGAGAAGACTAAAAAACGGACGACTGAGATTGCATCTGATTTCTCTTTCACTTTTCAGACACCGAGATTTGTAGCGGCGTTCGAATTTGAATTACGAAAGGGCTTTCCGTAATATTTAGAAAGTCATGAGGGTAATATCGTAATTCAGAATACTTGCTCATTTCAAAATTTTAACGGCTAACTTATCAACTCCTTTTTAAAAAATAAATAAATAAATGCGAGATTTCACATGTTTTGAAAAACAATTACACTTACGATTCATAAAATCTACAATTAAAATGTACATTGAAATACTTTTTCAGAATAATAAATAATATGGTTAGATTGGTACAATAATTTATGTGGTTCATATTAAATATTTAATTTTTTTTATCATACTAGTAATTTATGTTAATATGAGTTTTATCATTTTCTTAAAATATTATTCTCTCCTTTGGCTCATTATAAAAATTACACTTACTATATTATATAGATTTCATATCATACCCTTTTATATTTTTTTTTACGATCAGTATGATCTTCATGACCTATCTGATGGTCATAATACTGATCACATCGTTTAAATTATATAGTGGTTGTTACCGATCAAACCGTTCAAAACTTATATGGTGATCATATTAATCATATTGATCACATAAAAAAGTTAAGAAGGATATGGTCTGAAATCTATGTAACAAAATAAAAGTAGTTTTTATATAATGTCATCTCCTTCTCTCTAAAGATAAATAAATTCTATATTTTTACTATGTTTTTTATTGAGAAAATTTGCATAAATATGTCAATTTTGGAGAGAGATTGGAGACGTATACATTTTTTCCATCATTTACAAACTATATTTCGTATGAAATTTTATAAAAAATACATTCAACTTTATTGTCTAATTTCTATATTGTATTAACATCTCCTAAAACCTCCAAGATGGAAAACATATTTTCTAAGAAAAAACTTGTTCTATAGGATAAAACTGTTTCATTATAGAGAGTCCATTTTCATTTGGAAACTCTTCAGGATGAAACTGTTTCGTTCGGAAATTTTATTTTCGTCCGAGAGTTCTTTAGAATGAAATCATTTCATTCGAGAGAAGCTATGTACTCTTCATGATGAAACTGTTTGTGTATAATATAGGTAGTTATTTGTGTATATATTTCACTCGTTTTTATCATTAGTTATTTTAATTCAAACAATATTGTTGGTTCGACTGGTCCCGGACTATTTAATATCCCTTTGTATGCAAATGTCAAGACAGCGGCGACGGATTCTGGCTAGTCACTTCCGGGAGCAACAACTTATCTCATTTGGAAGGAACGGAATGCGTGCATCTTCAGGCGAGAGTCATGCACGGTTGGGAAGATTCGCTCAACTCTTGACAGACTGGTGCGAGACATTATCATCTCGAGGCAGCTGTGTTCTTCTACACATACTACCTCTTTTGAGGACGAGTGGTTATCTATTACTTCTCCTATCCGATCTATTCTGAAGTGTTAACTACATATATCTTTATGTCGGTTTCGTCATTATGATGGTTTATGATATCTTAGGGGCTGGTTTCGTCATTATGTCGGTTTGTACACGAACATTTTTTTGATTTAATATATTTACCGTTATCAAAAAAAAATATTTCTTTTAATTCTCGTACGTGTTTTTAATATATATTTTATTGAATCATTTTATTACTTTTTTATGTATTCTTTTAATTTGTATAGTTTTTTCGTTTCTAATTTATTATTTCTTGTAAATCAATTATTCCATCTGTTTTCTTATTTATTTCTTTTATTTTCTCTTTGTCTTTTAGTATCCTAGTTGGTTTTTAGAAATAATTCTATATTTTTCTTCTATTAATCTATTTATCTCGTTGATACATTTTTGTTCGAATATTTTTATTAATTTTTGCCGCTGATTTTTTATATCTATTTTGATTCCATTTATTTTTCTTTTTTATTCTTCATAATATTTGGAATTTTGATAAGTGATTCTATAAATTATTTCAACAATATTATTTAGGATTACACTTTTTTTTTTTGTTTTGAGATTATGACTAGTATCATCATCAAAGATGATATCAATATAATATTAATTTTGTTTATAAATTTTTTTTGGGATAGTTATTATGTTTTCTTTATAAAAAAAATTTCTGGATGATAACTATTTTTTAATTAATATTAATGACAATCATTTGGAAATTCTGGATATTTTAGGAATATGGTTGAAAGTCTTTATCATCTGAATGGTATTTTTGATATATTGTCAATTAAATAACTTAAAATTAAAATTTCATTTAAGCGATTGATTAGTTTTGAGAACTCAAAGTACCAACCACTTCTTAACCTGGATATTTACACAAAGAAACCTATCCTTCCTATACGAGTAATGGCGTATTTCAAAAAATTATTATAGGAAACATTAATTGTGTACATTAATGTAAATAATTAATACTATTTTTTGTAATCAATTAATACCATTAAACCATCTGTCTATGCCTATATATATATAAAACCAGCGTCCTTTTATGGTTAGTATGTCACATTATCGTATATGGCAGCATGACACATATATATACATACACACATATATATACACCCTTGTATTGTGTGTAAAGAAAATGATTAGGCATAGAGATATATCGCTACATATATGTTAAATAAGTAACCCCTACAACACTTTGGCCCTTCGCATACACCAAAGGCAACATAAGCATCTTTCAAAGACACCACCTTAAAACTTTTGCTCACATGTTTTTTTCTGCCGCGTCGTTATGTCGACCCATATCTTAACTCCATCCACATACTGCAATAATTGTATTGTATATATCTATATACCGACTCTGTATCTATATATGTATACATACATACCTGTGTATATGTAGCGGCTTTGCATGTTAAGACATAGATAAATCGAGACGCGGAAAATAGAAGTGAGAGGGGAAAAAAAATCCTAAAAGCGCACCAAGAAATAATTATTTTCTCTGCTCTTGAAAGCAAGAATCAGCATCATGGTGACTCAAAGATTGGAGATTTGCATCGAGCTGATAAAGTTGGCCATAGATTTCGTCGCTGCCGTGGCCGATGCGGTCGAGGGAGCCTTTTCCCGGCGAGATACGTCGCCTTCTTTCGCCGTGAACGGTGGCCGGAGTAATTACTCCGCCGTTCACGTTCCTCTTGTTGGGTTCCTCTCCTGAATTATTATTATTATTTTTATTTTAAATTTATCTCTTTAATTCTTTGGCCTGATTTGCCACGTGGGGTTTTGGAGACAAGGTATGGAATATCTTGCTTGTAATAAAGAAGAGACAGCACAACCAGAAGCCCTTGAGTTGCTCGAGAATAGAAATTGGTTGTCCTAAATTATTATATATTTAAAGACAAGGTTCTTTTTTTTTACATATTATACATATATAATATTTAAAATATCAAAAGCATGGTTATTTATAGGTATGTATTTATTATTGGATGGTTATTTTAAATTGCGAAAACTAATGATACACACTCTCTCAAGTAAAAGAAGGAAAACAATACAACACATTATTTGCATGACCGAATAATAAGCAAGCAGAAAAAAAGAAGCAAGGATCAGTTTTCAAGTGAACTTCTTGGCAAGAGATAAGAGACGATGTGCAAGATCCAACGGCTTGGAAATCATGATCATATGATCAGAATCCTTTATATACTCTACTTGATTCGGAGGGTTGTTCTTCATCATCCATAGTTGAAACTCTTTAACAAATGTGACATCTTTCTCCGAAACCACGAAAATCCGATTGACCGATCCGTATCGCTTTCTCGTGAGCACTATATTTTCGTCGATGTCTTTGTTGCTAAAGATTCGTTGAGGCCGAACTAGCAGTGTTGCCAATTCGATATCCTATGAATATATATGAAAATGTTGGAATGTTTTTGCAAGATTGGTTATAAATATGAACCAAAACATATGATGTCAATCAAATGTATAGTAGGGATGTGATGAAAGATATGTGCAAAATCCGAAATCGGAAATTGTGGCTATGTTTATAAAGGGTATTGAAATCTACAAACACTAAAAAAAGGGAAAATAACATTTAAATGTTTAAACTTTTACAAAAATCCTAAATAAATACCTAAAATATAAAATTTTCATATAAATACCTGAATTTTTTAAAATTCTAGAAAAATGCCTAAACATTTGAAAATATTTCTAAATAAACACAAAAATCATTAATAGCATCAATTAATTTTATTCGAGAAATATCTTAACTTTGGATTTATTTAAAAAAAATTTAAAAATCTAGATATTTATATAAGATTTTTAAAAAATTAAGGTATTTATACAGAAATGTTATAGTTCAAATACTTATCTAGATTTTTTTGTAAAAGTTTAGGTTTTTATATATGATTTTTTCTTAAAAAACAACGGTTTTTCAATGGATATTCTTGATGAAAACGTCTTTTGAAAAATGTACAACGGATAATCAATAAAATTTCAATGGATTTTGTAACAAATCTATCTGTTGAAATTTCGTTAGAAAATATTTGATTGCAGTATATGCTTTGCTTCATATCTTGGCAATCAAAATATGTTCAAAATTTTTAACGGATATAGTGAATTAAAAAAGAAAGATATATGGTTATAAAGGATATTGAAAAAAAATATATATATCATAAAAAAAGTAAAACTTTCAGATATTTTATATGGAAAAAGAAAAAGAAATTATATTTCTTATGAACTTGTGAAAATGTTATAATGTATTTGTACGATTGGTTACAAGTATGAACCAAAAGATATAAGGCCGATCAAATTTTTATTTATATGGATTGTGAAACAGAAATATTTGTAATATTTCAGATTTTTTTTATGAAAGAAAAAAAAACTATATTTCCCACACAGTTAATAAGAGCAAAGACCATTTAATGTAAGAAAATATAATTATATAATCTATGAATGGTGGAAGCATATAATTTACCTCCTTAGGGCTAAAGTTGTAGAAATTTAGTGCGATGGATAATGGACCACCAATGGAAAGAGTAAGTTAGCGAATCAAGATGGCATTTTTTTTTTATTATGCTCAATTTGATTGTAAAGATAACCCATTATATTATGGTATGATTGATGGTGAATAATTCAAAGTTATAAATTTTATAAATGAACCGACGATTATAAAATAAGTAGACCAAGATCTTATGTATTTGGATGCCAATACATTGAGTTGCTTAGTTCACAAGTAACTTGGAAATAAAAATTCTTTAATTGTTACAAATATCTACTAAGACATAATTTTTAGTATCCAAAAGAGTGGGAGGTTTGTCGGGCCCGTCTCCAAATACAAACCTCAGGTCCAATAAAGGAGCTTGCCATCTTACCAACTTTCAAAATGAAATAAATAAATAAATTTTAAAAAATCTGTGTAAGAAAAGTGGTAACATTGTGAAATCTAATCATGTAACTATAATTTTGATTATCCGTAAAAAAATATTCCCTTATCCGTCGATAATTGAATCTAAAGTTTCTAATTTTTTTAATAATTCTATAAAAAATTAAAAATGATTTTTTTAAAATTTTAAATTATCATGAGTATTTTTGTGATTCTCAATACAAAAATTGGAGGTAATTTGATAATTTTTTAAAAAAACTAAATGCGGTTTCCTATTTTTAATAATTAAAACATATTTTATCGTCATATCAAATTATTATTTACGCGACCATAAAATCGCAAAAATTACATTTGAAGTGTAGATAGAATTAGGGATAGGCCGGCTATTTGAAAACCGAACCAAACAAACTGATTTATACTTGTACTTGGAATCATTTAAAATTAAATATTATTGGGCTATAAATTTTCGAAATCCGAATTAATCGTAACCGAATAAACTGAATCCAAATTTACCAAAATCGAATAAAATTGTTCATCCACTCATGTATAATCAATTAATACACAATATATATTATATCTAATTAGAAAAATTATTATAACGAGATTGTTTATATAATTTTATAAGTATGATATATAATTAAAGCGCGGTCTTTAACATTTTCTTCATGAATATTCTAAATTTTGTTTTATTTACTATATCGAATTGAACTAACCGAATTTTTATTTTGTTACAATTTTAATTAGATATAATTGGACTAGAGTGAATCATAATCGAACCGTTAAAACAAAATAATTATTTAGTTATAAATTTTCAAAACCCGAAATAAGTGAATCCGAATTAATTATAAATCGAATATAGTTAATCCATGCCTATGTAGAATATTTTAAAAATGAACAATTTTGTCAACCTATATGGTATAATTTTTCCATTTACCAAATTTAATTTATTTATGGTCAAATAATATATATATATATATATATAGGTTCACTAATAGTAAATGCATTATATATAACTATATAATCAGATATTGCATTGACATTTCTACTAATTTATAGGCCAAATTTCTTTGACCCTATCAGCATTTCATTTTCATGTGTGATGTCTTTCTCTTAGATTGTGAAATATTCCAATAACAAAATATATTTTGAAATACTTTTTCACGAGCTGTTGCTTTCCTTATATGATTATATATTTGACTAATTACACTATATTCTATTGCATATATCTGATATTTACAAAAAAAAAACCATTGGCTAAACCAAGAAGATAATTTAAATTAAATTGAAAAACAACATATAATTCAGACGATTAATCACCAACCATTAAAATTAAAATTACTAAAAACATAAAATAAATTGAACTGGCTTATATCATATGAACATAGACGTACACGTACCCCTTGGGAAAGAGAAGTGAAGTTGAAGTTGGGGCCAGGCATGAGAGCAGTGGCGAAAACAGCCATATGAACCTTACCCGGAAACATTTCCATGGCCTTCGAAACGGCGAGGCCACCCAAGCTATGGCCCACAAGAATCGCCCTCTCACCTTCTTCTAGAGATTCTATTAGGCCGATCAATGGTTCGATATAATCCGATATCGACCGGAGATCATCCGGTGACTGCAGATTTATCCCAGAAGATACGAGATCGATCGCGGTTACGTTGTAACCGTGTGATTTTAAGATGGGTATGATCTTGTACCAACACCATGCGCCGTGGCCGGCCCCATGCACTAGCACAAAACGAGACCGGCCGGGGTTTGGTCCGGATGACGGTAAGGTTGGTGGTCGTGAAGTTGAGAGGAGAAAATATTGGAAGAAGATCAATACATGTAGTACACTTGGGAGTAATTCCATTTTTTTTTTGTTTTTGTGTTGCCTTGATGAATGTTTTTGGGTTGCTGTGTGTTATATAGTTGATAGAATTCAAGAATCTAGTGGTGAGGTGCTGAGTAAAGGAAATTATTTTTATTTTTTAAAATTTTTAATGATTTTAGAAATCAACATACTGTACTATATATATATATATATTATTTGATCTTTCAATTCTTGACCGCCTAGACTTTTTCTCAGCAAATAATTTCATGGTGGCAATACACACACATATATATATATATATATATATGTTATATGTATATACTTCAATACTTGCACGTCTTCATCTGATATTAATGTCTTTCTCACATTTGTTGTGTCATATATAGATATATAATTATTCTTTTGTTTTTTTTTAAAATAACATATAACAAAAAAGTACATTTCTTTAAGTTAGCGAATCAAGATGGCATTTTTTTTTTATTATGCTCAATTTGATTGTAAAGATAACCCATTATATTATGGTATGATTGATGGTGAATAATTCAAAGTTATAAATTTTATAAATGAACCGACGATTATAAAATAAGTAGACCAAGATCTTATGTATTTGGATGCCAATACATTGAGTTGCTTAGTTCACAAGTAACTTGGAAATAAAAATTCTTTAATTGTTACAAATATCTACTAAGACATAATTTTTAGTATCCAATAAGATACTAAAAAATATGTCTTTGTTATAAATGAATAGTGAAGCTACGGTACTGTTCACGCAGCCGGGCACTGTTCACGCAGCCGGGTACTGTTCACGCCGCCATACGGTTACTGTTTAGCCGCCATACGGTTACTGTTCATAAATAAGTATACGTGAACAGTAACTTCGGATTTTCTATAAATAGCTCATTTCCCTCCTTCATTTGTACACAATTCCAAGAAAAGAAAATTATTGAAATCTTGTTCCCGGGTCTCTCAAACGATCGATTTCGGTTTCTAGTTAACGATCTGATTCTCGGGTCTTCTATATTTCTTCATTTTTCACAACACGTTATCAGCACGAACGCTCTTCTACGACAAAGGTAATATTATATATTCGCTCTAATGATATATACACATATTAATTGATGCTTGAGTGGAATTAACCCCAAGCTATATATAAATATCAGTTAATTATTGTTTAAATTAATGGACGGCTAAGCCGCCTTAATTATTTATTACTATTGGACGGCTGAGCCGCCTTAATTATTTGTTACTGTTGGACGGCTGAGCCGCCTTAATTATTTATTTGTTACTGTTGGACGGCCGAGCCGCCTTAATTATTAATCTGAAATATTGTGTTATTTATGGACGGTCGTACCGCCTAAATTGTTTTATCTTTATGGACGACAATGCCGCCTGAATTATTTTACTTTTGCATACGGTAATACCGCCGCATATAAACAATTATATTATCTAATCTATATAAATTAATAAATATTTA